GTTCTTTTCTTGTTGTTTTTTTCTTCCTCTTTGATGTGTGTAAAGGCGCCATGTGGCAGCAATATCTGTCTGCGATTTTTCCAACTATCTGCCTGCCAATAAATTGCTTTTATTTTTCCAACACATACACACACACACAGCTCCTTTTTCAAACGTTTCACACGCCAATGACTTGCTGAGGTCAGATCGACGCTTTGCTTCATTGCGCTAATGGCGTACGCTAACGGAACATGGCAATAGCGCAGCAAGCAAAAATACCGCCAGTGCACGCTGAGCCACATTTAATGGCCCAGAAAGTCTAAAGGATACGCAAACTCGCTTATCCGCTGTCATGTTAACTGACATGACCATTTTGATTTGCGAGCAAAAAACTTTTTATTAATTTTCTTGTAGTTCAAGCATTGTTGTTGCTTTTGTTACTGGCATTTATCTACTTCATGTTGGCACTTTGTTGGCTGAGTTTCTTATATATATTTATTTTATTTTTGTAGCCATTGCTTTCGGCCCTTTATATTGGTTACCGATTTGTGCTTTTTTGCACTCCCTCCCATGTAACTACCCGCCAGTTACCGCTCATCCAAATCGCAGTTGTTGCTAGTCAGCCATTAAGTGGTCATACACTTGCTTCTCTGCTCCTATTGTGTCCTTCGTGCTCATTTCGGTTTTGGCTTGTATATAAAATCAATGACCGCAACCAGCAAGTACTAGCCAAATTGCTATAAAAATATATGCGTCCATTTCGGTATAGATTTTATTGCATTTATTTTTGCAAAACATGCGCCAAATGAGTGGTTTGTGTATTTGGCAATGTATTTTGGCCATTTAGCAGGTCAATTGTAAATAGCATTATTACCTTGAAAACTGTTATTACTCTGCGCGCTCTCCTCTCTCTATAAAAATTTAGTGAAAACTAAGCTTACTCTAGTGACATTATAAAATTTTATTTGCGCCTATTCAAATGAGGTCAATTTGCGAAAGCGGCAGTTGAAGTGTCTAATGGCTACCAATTTTGGTAAAAAACGTAAACTTCGCTGCACCGAAGCTGTAATACCCTTCACAAGTGCATAAAATATCTATATCTTGATTTTGGTCAGTCAGATTGTACAACAGCTATATGCTATAGTATTTCGATCTGAATAATATGTTCGGCGATTATAGCGCTGGACTTGGGTAATAATTTATTTGGTGAATAAATTTTGTCAAATAGAAAAGTTATTTATATAAAGCTTCCGATCTGTTTGTATGACAGCTATATTCAGGCGAGAGCTGTTAGTTAAAATTTCATCATTGAAGCAACACCTAGCAGCAAAGTTGCTCCGCGTTCTCCTAATCCGTGGCTTTATTGAGTCCACCCCGAGCCCGAAGAATATTTTCGCTTCGCTTGAGCCAAAAGGCTCTATCATGTGTCCGTTAGGTGTAATACATGCAATGGATGGAGCCATCTTAAACCTGCTCAAGCCTTAAAACACATTGGAGTGGAGCATACGTTAATGGCACATGCTGCCAACGCACAACTGCGAGACTAGCCTCTACGTGTGGTACAAATTGCATGTAGTTCGCGCATTGCGCCGCCACTTCAGTCGAGTGCTCAACGAAGGACCTCTTGGTTACATTTGGTTTGAAAGAATGAAGTTTTATTTTCTGTTTCCCAACTATCCATATTTCTCACTAATGCCAGCAGGCTATATAAATTGATTTGACAATATTGAAGCCGTAGTTTGATAAGCTAAGTACCACAACTACTTTGGCATGAACTTCGTTAAGTACACTCAAAATGCATACTCTCTCACAGGACTAAAGTCAGCGTGCTGTCTAATTTAATTAACTAACAGACATATATAATAATATGCAGTAGAAAAAGCTAAGTCTTACCTTTTTGCTCAACATTTACGGCTAATTAAACAAATGCCAACTGCTCTACTGAGTTTATAACTCTTTCATGTTGCTGAAACCGGTTGCCTGTAAGCGCACTTAAATCATAAACAAACTTATTTGTAAAAGATTACATATAATACAGTGTCTACCAATAGGTATGACGTGATTTTCACAGCTCGTGGCCAACCATTTGCATTCGCTGATTTTCCATTAGAGAAATTACTTTTCAGATTGTCATGCAATTTATAGCGGCACTTTTATAAAATTACAACCATCTAAATGTAAGTAAGGTTTTGTTATATTTGAAACCCCAAAATTATGTTAAGGTCAACGAGGTGTGACGCGTTGCATACTTCTAGGCGGATGGGCATAATAAAATGCGGTCAACTAGCAGACGCTCGCCACGAATCTAATAATCTAAATGCCGAATCTACAACTTAAATATTTACAGTTAGCACTGCTAAGGCTACGCTGACATGGTCGCAGTCGCTGCTACTGTTACCATTGTTGCAAATGTGTCACTGAAGGGTGCAGCAGAAATTGAATAGAAAATTAGACTCGCTTCACTGCCATGACTATGCAAATAAAATATTATTTTGCGCAAAAATATACGAAATGAAAAGATTTTACACAAAACCAGATTTAATGGATTTTGGTGCGGTCAAAATTCAAAACAAAAACCAAAAGGGAAATTCAGCAAGCAGAGCCAACTATAAATAACGGTCGCAATGCAAAAAGCTTGTAGAAAGTTAAGCAAAATGGAATGAAAAGTAGCGTAAATGAGCGGCGTAAGACGAAGGGAGCAAAAAAAGCTGTGGTCATAAATTTTTGTAGCTTCGTTAGGATTTTATAAGCAAATTGCCATGGCGCATGTGATTGTCGAACTTAATGACCCATACTACTGCGCTATTTTATTAGTTTTAATGGCAGTCGAAAGCTCATTAAATAGCCGCAAATTGCTATGAGCTTGTACAAACACGAGCATATCCTTTATTAATAAATATATTTCTTTATTAATTTAATGGAAAGAAACTTCATTGTGGCTTTAATATGCTTTACAGCCACAGCCTTCAATCAATCAAGCCAAGGTCAGTAGTTCAAAGTCAAAATGCGCTCATAACTCTTCTCAAATACCAATATGCCATTTATGGCTTCTTTAAACGCCAACCAATGCCTGATGAACTGTAATATAAAGGCTTAATCTGTGCGTGATATTCTCTTTTGTATTTGAATTAAGCCAACTTATAGCTCTCCAACTAGTAGCTCCTGCGACTGCTTGTTTGCATGCCAAACATGCATTTTGTAGCTACATCTTTGGTGTTCATTTTATGCGCTTATTACATTTTTACTACCCAAATCTATATCTTTATTCGCTCTAATCCGCTTCTTTCCTCTATGTCATCTGTTGTCTGTAATGATGACATCAAAGCAGTTTTTACTAACACTCTCTCTCTCTCTCTTCTCTAGTCATGCAGCACTGAATATTTACAAATATTCCAGCTGACCATCGTAAAAGTTTACTCTGCCCTTCTATTAACTCTCTCGACATTGACACAAAACGCACCCGAAAATTGGCCTTCAAAATTCCACAAACACATTTTTACTCTTTCACTGCTTTTTCCATCTATTTTCATCTTTATTTTTTCGGTGCTACTACCAATTTCCTCTTTATTTATTATGTTTTTATATCGTAGCGCACCCATCATATATCCTTCAAAATATGTGTGCTCGTTGTCAAATCTTTTAATTTTCTTTCACTTTCTCTCGCTTTTCTTCCCAACAAACATTACTATGCATAAATCCCATCAAAATTCCGATTCACATCTTATCCTTTTCACTCTCAACTACATTACGCCTCAATTTGTTGTTGTAAATTAGTTTTCTTTGCCATGTTTTGACATATTGACAGCTATCAGCAAATTTATTGCCAATAAACTTGTTTCAAACATCTATCTACTATGTATGTATTCATTCTTATAGGTATATGCATCTACAAGGGTTTTGTATTTCATTATTAATTGTATTTTACCCGAAATCTCACTCTCTCAAAACACACATTCAACCTCTACAGCTCTTAAATTGACACTTTGTCATTGCTGTCAGTATTCAATGTCAAAGCCATCACTCTTGACTTCTTAATTCATAGCTCGTTTTATTCGTTAAAGCAGTTAGTGCTTCTGGTATGGCGATTAATTAATTAAAGGTTATATTTCATAGAAATTGGGTTTGTAAAGCGGGTTAATCACTTTAAGAAAACCCAGAAAATTGAGAGTAATTATAAAATGAATGGTGTAGGCTATGTGATGGCGAGCAATGATAGGCTGATCGTCTATTACTTTTGTACCAAGTTATTTTAAGCATTATTATACTCCATATGGTATATAATATATAGAATGTCTATCCAGAATCCAATTTAGAATCATGTTGTAGAATGGAGTTTATTTCACAAAGAATGGAATTTCGAAAATTTTGTTTCATTGAATACATGTTTCGAGTTGTTAGCTAAGGATCATGCTATATTGCTGTACATCAATCTTCTTAAAAATACCCATATATCTCTTTCGATTTCTTATCTTTTCAGAACGACCATTACACATTGAGTATACAGCGAATTTGGCATTATTCCTGTACAACCACTTAGACACAACCACCAATAAACCCTAGACAGAACTTGCTAAGAGCATCCTATTGAAAAGAACGCGGAGTTATTAAACATAATAAAGTTAAATTTAATGGCATAGAGTTAATATTAGAACCATAAGTGATAAGATATATATACCAGAATTGAGTAATTAACATAAATGTGTGTAAATGTGGAAGAAAGACCAAAACTATACCAAAATTGATGAATATTTGTAAAATAAATTATTGTAGAAGTAAAATATAATTAAATAATGCGTAGGTAGGTGAAGAAAAAGCGCCTAAAGATACTTAAAGTTATATTTAGGCAAAAATATTTTAGACAATTTTTCAATATTGTTTTGATCGAAATAGATTTTGTTATGCTCTTTTGAACGATTTTGCATATGCTACTTTAATTATTTGTTAATTTAAAAAAAATTCGATTGCTCTTTGATATATATATTATTATTATTTTTATTTTTATACTCTATATATGACACTGTGTTGTTGTTGGTGGTTTAATTTCACTTTCTGCTCATTTTTACTTTAGTTCTCCTTTATAGCTTTCGGCTTTGCAAGCATTTAGAAATTTGTATGTGAGTTGCCATCTTTTCTTTGCCGTTTTGGGATTTTGCATTTTCTACTTAATTTTTCAGTTTTGAAATTTTTCAAAAACTTTTTAAAAATATTTCGGTGTTGTGCTAGTTTTTGTTTTAATTTTCGAATTTTGAATTTTTAAAACATATTTGCAAAAGCTTATGTGAAAAATATTTCTTTGATTTATTTTACGAATAAACAGTTTCAAATATATATATATATAATAATAAGTAAATAGACCGTAATAAGTGAGGTTATGAGCAACCTAAAATACTGAGATAAATTTTAGAAATTTTCAATTAACTGTCACTTTTTCTAATTTTTGATTATGTTTTTAATTTTCTGATTTTGAAGTTTTTTAAATCATATTTTAAAAATATTTCGTATATTACAATACCTATATTCGTTTTAATTTTCTGAATTTAATTTTTACATATAAATGACTTTAAATATATGATATATATGTGTATACCTATATATAATATATACTATATATGTAAATATATCGAAATAAGTGAGGTTATGTACAAACCTACAATACTGAATAATACACAATAATATTTGAAAATACTATAACAATAAAAACAATAAATAAATTTTATTGCATATATGTATCTACAAAAAGTTATATACATACATATGTATAATATAAAAGGTGTAAAGTAAAGCAGCATAACAGGCATACAGAAATTAAGAAAATATATATAAATTAATTTTTAAGCCATTGCTTATACAAAAATAAAACAAAGCACAGAAATAAAAAATATATAAATATATAAAAATAATATAAACAAAATGAATAAAAATAAAACTGTATTATAAAGTGGCATATGTATATCTACTGCGTAGACATTCTATCTAATAAATATACAACTTTATATACTGTATGTACTATGCATTTCTAAGTGTTAGCTAAGCTTCAAAAGCAAAACAAATGAGAGAATGGAATAAATATGTAAAACGTGCGCATAATAAATAAAAAGAAAGACAAAGCACAAAAATAAATAAATTAAATAAAATAAAATAAAATGGCAATACCAAAACCCATGCATGCCGGCTTGTATATTAACGTTATAAAATCATAGCTAAGCAGTTGCAAGCTAAGTAATACAAATTGAAGCAATTAAACCAAAATGCTTGACAAGCATAAAAGACAATAGCAGCATTCAACAGATATCATTTCATTGACGCATACTTTTTAAGCGACTGTTGAAGTTTTGAGACTATATTATATGCAAACCAAATCATTGTTTTGGCTCTCACACGCTTAATAATGCATAGAAGCATATTCGAGTAGTTTGCGGCTTCTTTACAAATAGCTGGCACCACTTGGAACCGAAGAATCTCTCTAATTTCCTCCATATACCGTGTACCATATATATTTTTAACGCATATATATTTTTTCTACTGAATAATTTTGTTATCCACACATAACCCGTGCTAATTACAATAACATTTACTACAAAATTTGCTATGTACTAAACTTGTACTAAAAGTGTACTAAACTTTGTACTAAAAGTGTACTAAACTTTGTACTAAAAGTGTACTAAAATGTGTACTAAAACAAGTACTAAATTGTGTACTAAAATGTTTACATAGTTAAATATTTACTAAAAATGTGCTTATCAGCATTTTACGCTCTGTCATATACGGTAATGATTTGTACTCAAAATTGGTACTAAAACTTTTTCTTGGAAAATAAGTGATTCAAAAGTTTGGAGCATTTTTTATACATTTTTTAAACCCTTATGTGCTGTACTAAAATACATGCCTAATGGACCTACAGTGTTTGTATGTACTTACTATATGCCTTTATACTAAAATATTATTTTGTGTACTAAACCATTTTTATGTGCATAAATATCTGTGCCGTTAAGTTAGTACCTTTAGGTCGATCTAAAAATATTATAGTCTATACTTCAATAATATTTTTAATTATATAATCGGAGTTTTATGGCATACTACTTTAGTCGGCAGAGTTTCCTGCTCGGCATAGTTATTTGTGTACTTATATACCAAAAATGTATGTACTAAAAATGTACCAAAAAGAACTAACAACATTTCTAATCTAAAGTCATTTCATTTACTGCTGTTGTATATATTTATATTTCAAAGCAAAAGCTTTTGGCTGCATTTATACAAAACTAAAAACGCTAGCATCAATGTGTAATTAATAAGAAACACCTATACAACAACAATATTTGTAAATAGCAAAATTTGTAATTACTAAGAATTCTGTATACTAACCACTCCACATACATACATACATACATGCATAGTACTTAGTACTTTCGCTATTATAGCAGAAATACGAGTATACTCATGAAAATAGTAATAAATGCATATACATAATTCAATCTCTCAATGCTTAAGCTATATTAGGGTGGGTCGCTTTACTATATGAAGTTTTTACAAAAGCAAAAAACAAAATTAAATAAAAAAATAATTTTGCCTGCAACGCTGCGCAAATTAAAACAGAAAAGATTTTTTTTTCAATAACAGCATATATACTATAAAAAAAACTATATATTATATCAGAAAATTTATAACATTGATTTTAGTAGCTTATTTTCATTTTTGTTCCAGCATAAATAGTATTAACTTAAAATGTATTTCAAAATGCACCACCTACAAAACTTAGATCAAAATTATTTTTCACAAAAATATTATTTAAAATAATTTCCATACAAACCCAGAATTAAAAAAAAAATTTTGCCTTTTGCAGTAAAAATATTTTTTTTTTTTTTGATATGTAGTAGTCTGTTTCGCTCTATTTTTTATTTAAATAGTTTATTTCAAATCTTGCCTTTTATTATCTTATTTATTTTGTATACCTTATGTTTCTCAATTACTCTGCTTTGCGCAATTTACTTCGCTCGATTACTATAAATATTTCTAAATATTTTTTTTTTTTTTAACCAACCCACCCTAGTAGGTACAAATTCATAAAATCTAGAGCGTTTTATTAATTTTTCTAAACATGTATGTATGTAAGCGCAAACTAAGTAAGCTATGTTTGGATAAAATGTGTAGCTACTAAAGCCAGATAAAAGTATTTGAAAAAAATAACAATAAAGAAAAATATTTAACAAAATATGTTGAATTAAAAAGCTGATTATGTGAAAAAAATATAAAAAATTGGAATAATAAAATAAATAATTGGTAAGTATGTAGGTAATTAAGAAGAAAAATACGCGTTTACTGAGAAAAGTCGTCTGTAATAAGGGACAATTAAAGATACTTAGTAAGTGCTCATTTCTATAATCATTACCACAGATTATCTTAATCCTATAGAATTGAACTTAAATTCCTCCAATCTTTTCAGTGATATTGCTGGCAACTACAAAGCAGATGAACTAATCAGAGCAGGCATCACTCTACAATTAGCCCACCGAAAAGTGGGAATTTATTTGCTTCTGGCAATTTGTAAATATTTAATCCACAAACATGTTATAAACATGAGTCTCGGTAGAGTCAATTCCTGACTTTTTCAACAAGCAGGCAGATGTGGCATGAATGGGATATGGGCCGCACATGCCGCCTTCTTAAAAGTCAAGAGGAATGACATAAGAAATCTAGTAAAAGTGCTAACAGGTCACTGTCTACTTGGCAGACATGCCAGCAGACTAAGAACACTAAATAATGACTTTTGTAAAAACTGTCAGAAAGTAGAAGAAGAAAGAAGACTATAAATAATCTTCTATACGAATACATATACTTTGTATAAAGAAAGCAACTGTTGGTAAAGAGTTTCTTTACAATGTTTCGGATGTTGCACAGATAAAAAATGTTATACTGATGAATTTCATCAGAAGCACAAGGTGGTCTAGAGAGGAGACAATAGAGTGAGTGATGTTTAGCCCCAGACAGCCACTCTAACTAATTACCTACCTAAGAAAACTTGTAAAATATTGAAGAGAAGAAATATACATGTATAGTTATAGTAAGTTTTGAATCAACACCTAGCCTAGTTGTGACCAGTAAAGTAAACACATATTTACTTACACTTTTGGCATAATTACTAATTCTTTATTTCGAAACATCGAAGCATATGTGCTCCCCTATACTTTTTTCAAGCTTTTTTTTACTTTACTCACTATACTATAAAGCTCCGATGTTGGCAATAAGCTTCGACTTTTTCACTCAAATTTGTTGTGTAATTATATTCTCTCTCCAGTGCTTGCAGGCGATGTTTTCTAAGAGTAAATGATCAATATGATGCATTCTCCTTAAAATAGCAAAAGCTTGCGCATAGTTGCTTGTTATTTGTTGTTCTGGCAATGTATGATCATTTAGGGTTAAGGTTACCAGAAGCTAAAGTGTAAATGGCTAAGTGATATTTTGGACACGAACTACTACTATTGGTAAAAAAAAATATCTAATGGCTTTTTTGTTTAAAATTAAACTATTTTTTATTAAAAAAATTTATGTAAACCAAAAGAATTTTTTTCTTACCTAAAACCCTTAGAAAGAAAACCGGCAATGGTATTAGTATAATAAAGTCAACTTATTAAAAAAAATGTATAGAAAAATACAGATAAAAAAAAAAGTAGGTTAGTTGTTTTCGGCTAAAAAACATAATACTGGTTTTTATTTAATTATAGACAACCATTCTTCACGTCGGTATATGTTCTAGCTAAAGTGTAATATAGAAAGATTTTCGGAATAAAACCGCACTTTAAACGAAAAAAGTTCATTAAACGCTTTCGAGTTTAATATCACAAAACGATTGTGCTTACATCGAACTTTCATAGAATTCAACCAATATTGAAGGCCCACCTTTTTTTTCTTTGTGGAGTCTAAATTTATAATCAGTTCACTATAAAGCAATATGGGTTTAATTTTTCTTCCAATATATACCTACAACAGTATCGTATGTAAAAAGTTTATCGAAAGTGTTTTAGTTGTATCCATTTAGGAGTTATTATTTATTGACCGAAAAATCTGTGGGACTAATATTAGTTTAACTTCACAACTAATTCCCAGAAGCTTATATGATATGTTTTTACTAATATGTACCTCTGTAGTCAAATGCTTCGACGAAACTAAAATTCAAAAAAATTCCCCTTGTTCAGTTATAACTTTTATTTACACTTCAAAATTCCCCTTTATCATATGTACATATATATGAGTAGGAAAAGAAGAAACGAAAGTCTAATTAAACCAACCAGCTGACTATCACAGAGCTATATAATATTTTTAAATAATAAGGTAAGATCAAAGTAAAAAACTACACATAAAATATACGAGTGAAAGTACACAATGCAAACAAAATACGCACATACCTGTAAATGTAGTTATAAACAATTCGGCAAACAATCCAAAATCAGCTGAGCTATAGATTCCACAAATATACAAAAACATTGCCAAATGTCATTAACAAAATAAAGCAACGCTCAGCTTACTCAGAACTCTGAGTGGCGGTGTATGGGTCAAAGAGAGCATACATTATAGAAGAGAGCACAAAAGCCACAGCAAAGATAGAGGCACACAGCTTAAACAAGCCTCCAACTATTATGGTTAGTGTTGTTGAGGAAGTGGAGGTTTAATTTAAAGAACAAATCGTTTCCAAGAACAAATCTTAACAAAAATAAACGTAACCAGATTTTTTTTATTAGTTTTTTTTAAATTTTAGTTAGCCCTAACTATTCAGAAAATACCAATACCGTTGATTCCACCATCTACGCCACCTTTCGATACATTTTGAGACTTCATGTAGCGGCAACACTGATTGGAGCATTTTTGAAAATTTTGCGCTCTCTTACGGCTAGCCGCGTTATCAATACATTCCACACACACTAGTTGGCTAGACTCACAATGCGCTGCCGACTTGTGTATGGATCGCTGATGGGCCACTTGCTAGCCAACGGCTTAATTCAGTTCACTAACGACCTGACAATGTGAAGGTTGTGTCTTTTGCCGTTTTGTTTGCGAATGTGTATCGTGAAATCGTGCAAATTGCGTGCTAACTTACTGAAGTGAAGACGCACGTTTGTTAAGTTGCGGAAAATCTAAGAAATAAAATTGTTGTTTTGGATACAATTGCAAAATAAATTTTCTAAAATATTATTAAAATTGTGTAACAAGTAAATTATGCAAAACTTTTGATTTGTGACAAGTGGAAGAAAATGTTTGGTTGCAAGTTTATAAAACTCGTTGTTAACTAAAATATAAATTTATGAAAATGTTGCTATAAATTTATTGTGAACAAAATAAATCTTTTTAATTAAAGGTTTGAAGTGTGTTAAATCTGAAGGTATGGGAGTAAAAGGTCGCAACTTAGAAAAAGCATTTAGAAAAATGTTAGAAAATTAATCAGTAGTCTGTTCCTTCACCAAAATAGTTTATAAAAAATACTATTTTATGTGACTGGTTCACGATTTTAATATTTATAAAAAAATTTAAAATATTTTGAACATTTAATTTTATTATAAAATAATTTTAAATCTAGTTTTTATAATTTTTTCTTCCATTTCCAAATTTTTTTAATATGGTTAGTTTTTTTTTTTTTTGAATTTGCTGAAAATAGTATTTTCCTAACTCAGGCAAATATACTCTTTTTAATCCCGTTAATTGGCATATATATATTTTTGGTTATTTTCATTAAATTTTTTTGTTTATTAAAAATAATTTTTTTTTTAATATAACTTATATTTATTCACGTGCTATTTATGTGTTTATATTTTTGTTTATTCTCATTTTATTTAATTTTTGTGTTTTTTAGTAATTAAAATGAATACAAAATAGTTTTAATGGTTTTTTAAATTAGAATTTTTCGAGTAAATATATTAAACTTTTGTTTAAGTATTTTTTTTTGTTTATATTTTTTTTCAATTTATTTTATATTTTGTTGTTATAAAAAATTTTATTATTTTTCTTTTTAATAAACTTTTACTTGTTAAAATTTAATTATATTTTATTTATTAGTAACATTGAATTCAATATATTAAAAGCAAGAATTTATGAAATCTTTTTTTTAATTTAACTGTTAAAAGTATTTACTAACATAGTTAGCCTAAATATTTTAAACTATTTTTTTAATCGAATTTTTGATTATTTATTATTTAATAGCAACGAAAAACAATACATAATTTTTAATTAAAAATCTGTATAAATAGTTAATAAAAATTCAAGTATATATAAAAAAATTAGTTAATTAAAATAATTAATACTTTATTAATTTATATTTATTAATTAAAAAAATATTTTTTATTAATTAATTGCAAAGTCTGTAAATGTGTTTTCTTTTTGTTTTAATAAAAATAACTTTTTTTTATTATTCTTATTTACTATTGTATTTTTTTATAAATAATTATTTGTTATATATTTAATAGTGAATGGTTATTTTTAAACAATAATTATTTCATAACTAATTATTATTTAATTATTTTAAATATAATAAAAAGTAGATACTTTAATGTTGATAAACAAATAAAAAAAAATTTTTACCACCAAAAATAATTGCCGGCCACAAAATTTTGCTCGATAATTCAGCGAAAATAGAATTTACCGCACAAATTTTCAACCAATTTTGCTGTCAAACTTAATTGTCAACAAAATACACAAAACTACAATAACAAAAAAGCGATCAAACTAAAAATTGCCACATTTCGTCATCAGACCAAAAATTGCCGCATTGCAGCAGCAGCGTTTGCATGTAGGTAAGTGCTCACCAATTTACATTTGCATGAGTGTACCACTACATACAAGTACATACATTACAATTAATTTATATTTACTCACATGCATGTTTGTGCGTTTTCACAAGCCTGCGACTGCTAGGTGTGTAACTGTATGCGTTTTAAGCTTTGTGCACGCTGACAAATGAATGGAAAATGAAGACATGAACACCAGAAGCTAAAAAAAATAACAAAATTAAAGTGTCTCAAAAAAGGAAGAATAATATAAAATAAGTAGTAGCAAATTTACGATTTTTCGCACGCGATGCGTTTGTGGGGGTGCCTTATGCCACGAGCCAAAAGCAGCGAACGCAAACAACACATTTACCCACATGTTTATAGTTTGCAATTTGGTTATTAATTTGGATTTTGTTTTGTGCTTTTTGGTTTCTTTTTATTTATTTTTGTTGTTTTTGGTTTCTGTTTTTGTTAAGCAAACAGCTTGAACTTTAATTACACTTTGAATGTCCAACAGTATATATACAAGCATACATACGTATACAGATATGTTTTTTATTTACTTCCGCCACTTACACTTTTTATTATTGTTGTTTGCCACCAGCTAACAATTTTTTCAAACTAAATTTCGTGCAAATCTTTTGGAAAGTGGATTTCACACGCCACCGAATCGCCATATATACATACACATATACATATATACAAACACAAAAAACTAACGGCATATTTGCTCAAACACTCCACCAAAATAATTGCCCTTGAAGTTTAACCTACATTGGTGCCCTAATTTTGCAGCTTACTGTTATTTTTCCCCCTTTTTCTTTTTTGTTTCAAATTTTCACCACTTTGTTGACATCGAATATTGCTTTTTACTTTTCTCTATAACTCCTTAAATGAAGTTGTTCATCGCTTGTATTTTTCGAGACAATGCCATGCGCTCTATTCATAAATCACCCAACAGCCAGACAGCAGTATTGTCCTGAAAACAAACAAAAGCATTTTGTCAATCGATTGACTTATGCTAGCGGCATGCCCACATAACGGTTGCTATGCCCTAATTCTACTCTGCCGAAAACACTTGACTTTTACGTCACACTCTCTTTTTACACACCCTGCTTTAGTAGTTTTTCGAGGTTCTACCACATTTTTGCTTTAATTTCTTACTAAATTTCTCTTCATTTTCACCTTTACCCACTTTTTCACTAATTTCTAGTTTATTTGATTATTTTTGTCACTCTTTTGTATTGGAGAATTTACGTAGAAGCCCCAAAGTTAAAGCCCTCATAATATTCTTATATTTGTTTCATTCGTTTTTCAGTTTCTTTGCGCTTTTGCTTGTTGTGATTTTGTAACTATTTTCTATAGTTTCTTTTTCAAATTTTTTTCTTTTTGTTTTCTTAATCTTCGGCAGTATACTTTGGTTTATTTTTCTGTCTTTCTTATATTATTAGTTTTTGTTTTATCAGCTGTCGCAGCTTTATCGCTCTAACGACGCTTTGATAAGCGATTGCAACACAGGCATCGAAGTTGTCGAAATTTTTGTAGGGAGTTTCCTTTTTTTTGGATGGAAATTACCATTATACTTTTACATATTTAAAATTTTAGCAGCAGCAATTCTGGTTTAAATTGTAGTATTAAACCCAACCGATATCCAAACAATAAATGTTCTCTAATGCGAACGCCTCAAAAAGAAAAGAGTGAGTTTTTAAAGACGTCAAAATATAAGCAAATGAGGAAAATCTGAAGATAGAGGTACTTTTATTAAAATTCAATAATAAAAATATACTAAAAAACAATTTCTCGTTAAAATACTGGTTTATTGGTCCATTGCCTTTACGACTCAATATTCAACCAATGAATGTACCACAAAACCTCAAACAGGAAATAGCGTGTTTTTTAGATAACAATAATAGTGGGAAATCTGTAAATAAAGGTTAAAATAAAAAATTGTATAAGAAATATACAATAATAAAAAATGGATAGATAGATCAATGTAATAGCTATAAAGTCCGAACCGTTTTCTTAGAGATCAAATGAGTTTATTTTTTGTCTAGCGTTGAAACACGAAAATATAAAAATACCGTTATATTTCGATTAAACATATACAATACTTTCATTAATTTTTTAAGACATTTAATCACAAGCTTAACGAGGTTAAGTCCTGGCAATAATCCAAAATGTCATTTCGGAATAAATTCGAAATAATTTTGGGAAAATCCAAACAATTTGTAGCACAATTTATAGCGGTGGTTTCCTTTGAGTTTATTGTTTAAAAAGTTTATTTTCCATTATTATTTGACGTTTTAAAAATGGCAATTATTGAAACGAAAAAGTCTAAATCTAAAAATAAAAATGTTAAATAAATTTGTTTGCATTTTTAAGCACAATATTAAAAATTTTATAAGCATTTACATTTTATGACACTTTTATGCATTTCCAAATGTGGGTATTAAAAAAAGCAATAAGCGCATTTTGTTTACCTGAAAGATATTTTGAGTTAATTAAAGCTGTGGCACAAATATTCATATTTGCTCAACATATTATAGTGTTGTGTTTTATAGTGAATTTCCTAGAGGGATAGCTATCAAACCAGCTGTTAAAGTAAACTCATGAGTTTGACTTTCAAATTCCGTATATTTTGACGAGTTATCAAGTAAGTGGATGTACTTAAGAGTGTGCCCAGACTCCCTCGTATGCAGAAAAGAGTAGATACTGTCTGGTGCGGCTTTCTGCCGCCGTCATTAATCATTACAGAGCTTTCTTCACGTTTTCAGCCTTAGGCAGATTAAGGCACTCTTTCTCTGCTTCTTATTAATGCCAATCATTTCTTACTTTCAATTAGTTGTCTGCCTAAACAAACTTATGTAATTGTCTTCAAAAATATACTTAAAAGCAACATTCAACAATTTATAATGTTCCGAAATTATTGGCTATAATTTTTCTTCATTTTTCATGTACATTTACATCCTCACCTTGAAAATGGCTATTTTTACAATTACAATGTTGAAGGGAATTTTCGAATATATACACACAAATACAAAATGCGCAAGATTTTTAATTATCTTCATTATATTACATATTAAGCAAACAATTTGCCGCAGTTAAACAGAGTTAATCAACCACCCGCTAGCTGACATACAAAATATTGTAGTTGCATGGACATTGGGGTGCGACTGAAAAATATATTATTTTTTTTTGATTAAATTCAAACAAAAATTTCGCTAATATTCACTTCTTAAATACTTAAGTATTATATTCGTATTATTTCATATCAATTTGGCTTTTGATAATTACAAAATTTTTTTCGAAATTTTCAAAAAGATTTTTCGAAGATTTGATTTTGATCCAAATTAGCAACATATAGCAATATAAGTTTGACTAAAAACTGTTACACACCATTGAAATGAAACAGAAAGGTAGATTATGCCCATATTTTTCAATTTTTAATAACTACCTACTCTAATTAATAATATTATTTTACAAAAAGCCTAATTACAAAATTTCAAGACAAATATTTTAATTCTGGAGACTAACCATGCAAAATGGACAATTTACCTTTTACTTGTGACTTAACCAGAAAAAAAGTTTCCGAATAGCATTATATATAATAAACTTTCAAAAACACTAAAATAAAATATTTACTCCAAACAATATAACCACCCTAATACATTGCTAATAACGAGTGTTAGTTGTTTATTGATTTATTTATTTCTTGATTTCCAAATTATTTTCTTCAAATATTTTCGCTTTGTACATTAGGTTCATTTGTACTCATGTATTTATGTATATTTATATTATAAGGTATAAAGCGCTACCCATAAAATTTCAATCAGAAATGCTCTATCCCTTCAATGCTAATAATCAATTCACAAATATTAACAAATGTTTTGGTACTAGGCATATCAATATTAGCGAGATTTCTTAAATTTATGCGTTCGGGATTTCGGGATTTTTTACGGTTTGTTTTATTTTCCGCTAAAGCGACTTTAATATACCCTCTAACGTATGAATATATTTCTAGCATGCCTTTTATCGTAATTTTACTACCCCAAAAAAAATATTATTTTAATTTTTTCCGTGAAAAAAAAATTATTTGATATCGTATAATTACTTAAATTTGAATTTAAATTAAATTTAAATTTTTTTTATTGCCTATATACTAACGTATGTATATGTAATTACAATTTAAGTTATGCTAGTAAAATATTATAAATTTTTTTTTTTTGAGATTAAGTTTTTTTTTTTTGGAATAAGGTGTTAAAACATGACTACATTAATATAACAATTAAACTAACTTATATTATTGCATAATTTAAATTTTTAGGTAGTGTAGTAGAACTATTTAAAAAAAAATAAATAAAATATTTCAGCAATCCCAAAATTTTCAGTTTTCGTTATTGACAACACAAATGTTGTATTTTGGATTTACATGTGTTTATTTAATAAAAACGTGGTTAAAACAAAGTAGTTACAATATATCACAAAGCCCGAAATATTTACGTTTTCGGGATTGACACTACTTATGTTGGATTTGCATGTGTTTATCTAGTAAAAATTGTTTAAGTAGCGTTAAGCAAAATATTTCATCGATCCCGAAATATTTACGTTTTCGGGATTGTCAACACAAATTTCTATAATTACATTAAATGTATTTATGTGTAGAAATTTACAATCCTGCTGTGTTTGTGGCATTGATGCACTGATGATGTATTGTAATTTTGTTGTAAGCGTTGGCTAATTGAGCGGTAGAGCTAAGAAAAATTGCAAAAATTCAATATTGCCAATATGTGACAATATATATTAGGGTGAGAAAAAACTATTTTTTTTTTCGCGTGACACTCTGAAAAAGACACGTAGTAGACACATCTACGAAAATCTCTCCCTTATGGGCTCTTAGTTTTAACGGGAAACTCCTCCGCCTTACAATTTTCTATTGTTTTTTTTATTATTATTTTCGATTTTTTCGTAAACCTAACCGTTTAAAAGATACCAACAGTTAAAATTTGATTATTTTAAGGCAAGTATTTTTTAATTTGATAATAACTTAATGAAAAAATTTTTAATTGCAAAACTTTAGTTGGAAACTTAATCGAAAGATTTTATGATTTTTGGTAAATTTACAAATTTTAGTATTTATATTTTAAGATTTGAAGATCTTGTAATAGTATCATTTTTATGAATTTAGTTTTTTTTATACAAAAAAAAATATTTTTGTATATTATTAAAACTTATTTTTAATTTTTTGCAGCTGCTTCGATTTGCATGAACAGTAAAAAATTTTGATGAAAATAATTAAAATATTTTAAACTCGAAAAAAAAAGTTCAAGAAAACGTAATTTAAAGTGTTATAAAAAAAAGGTTAAGTTTCCTTTTCAAAATATTGAAAAAGTGTTAAGTTTTTTTATAAGTTCTTTTTTTCAAAGTAAAAAAGATTAAGTAAAAAGTGAAAAATATATTTCTATTTAAAAAAAAATAGTGCGAATTAAAAAAGTGTGTGCAATATGTTAAAAAATATATAACTGCAAGTCAGTTCAAGCTAAAAGTAATTCGTCGAGTACCAGTAAATATTCAATATCTGAAGCTATTTGCAACACCTCTAATAACAGCACCATATTCACCATAGCACAATGTTGCCTGTTGCCTTGTTGCTGTATTTGACGCTATCGCTGGGACTGACCAACGGCGCCGTATTACCAGGTATGTTCGTCGAAAGGTTATTAAAAATACACATAAAAAATTTCAAAGAAATATTTAACAGACATCAATCTACACACACACACACATTCACGCACACGCTTGCACGCACTGTTAAACAACAGGTGAGTTACAAGCAAATCGGACTAAGTCTTTATACTTAGCACTTGCCTCATTGTCAAGCTATGCAAGAGGAAAAATTTATAAAAACAACAAGAACAACACTTTGCACTTGTTGAGTGAGCTAGTTAGCGAGCAAAATCAGCACAGATCAAGAAAAATTAAAAAAAAAAAACACGCATATACACATGTATACATACATTCACACATATTTATATATGTACTCACAGGCGTCCGTTTTATGTACTCAGTTGCACTGCGCTAATGATCTGTTTGATTATATTTTCATTAGTGCCTGCATAACAACAGCTAGTGATTCAATTTGCCACAAAAATTTCAATAATTTCACTTTTGTTTATATTTCAAAATCGCATTAACCACTGTGCATGTGTTTCGAAAACACAAAGAAGACCTTGCCTATTGATGAAAATCTCTTTGTTGTATTTGCTCTTTGCTTTTGAATTTTTCTAAAGCGATTTTTTGTTTATTTTTTAAATTTTATTTCAATTTTGTTTTTGGTTTTTTGACGTCACTAAATTCTAAATTCCTCGTAATCCGTCTACTGGCAATTATTTTTGAACTCATTTGGCGAATTCTCATTTTCGTTTTCACTTTCGATAATTTATGTAAGCAGGTATTTAGATATGACAGGTTGTTTGAAAATATATGCCTCGATTTTAAATAATTATAAAAAATAAGCTTTAAAACTCAATTCAAATAATGTTGTAATTTTTTTTCTAAAAATGTATGAAAATCGGATGATAAATATTGAAATTAAAAAACTTTGGACCGCAGCGCCACCTAGCAAAATTTTTTATTTATTCTGTCAAAATTAGTTTAAAGGGTTATAGCTTCTTAGCCAGAAAAGTGCATGTTTTATAAACTTTTTTTTGAAGAGGCATCTTTTTTAATAATCGGTGATTCATTTTGAAAAATGTTTGATTCTTTTTATCTTGTCAGAAAAGGACTTCTTATCAGCCCGTCTTCAGAAGGAGCTGCAAAAACATTTATGGTGATGAGGAAGATTTTACTACTTAAGATTATCTTAAAATCAAAAACCAGAAAAAATATTCTTACTACAGATTAATACAGATTACGGTCGAAACACTAGTCAAAATTTTGATTTTTGCCAAAATTTTGTGAAAAAAATTTAGGCTTCAGAATTTTTATGATTTTTGACAAAAATTTAGAACTCAGAGTAGTTAAAAAAGAATTATTTTCAAAAATCGTATTCCTTCAATCATTATCTGAATACAATACTGAAACAAATATATCTAAAAGGATTTTGGAAGAATGTTCGGTCTAGTTTTTTTTTTGAGAAATGTTCCACACCGGTTCTTATATTAGCATTTCGTGAAAAATTTCGTTTAAAGTTTTGGTAGCCGATTAAATGTACTAAGGTTAAAAAATTGTTACAAATACGTTCATTTATCTGAAACTATTTGCCGGATCAACTTCACATTTTTGATGAATATTCTCAAGTATTTGTACATTGGTTATATTGGCAAAAACAAAAAATTTATTTTCGAAATTCGTAAGTGGCTTTAATATAAAATACCAGACAAGAGTTTAAATAAAAACCATTTTTCGTTACTAATGACCGAATTACGTAAAATATTTTGTTTATTATTTTTATTTTTTTCACACTCTAAGTCTAAACCATTTAAGTAGCTACCTTTTTGAATATAATATATACATATATATAAATTTGTATGTATGTATGTATTTAAGTATGCAAACCCCATCAACCGCTGATTCATATATTTTTTCTTGTTGATTTCACCGCAAACTTTCTAGTTTCATTCATAAAAATACAGCAGCTCTCGGACTATACTTATGTATATTTGGACATACGAGCTACATAAATATGTTTAAATATAAATATGTTTACAGTTGTCTGCATGTGATGTTTTGTATGCGAACGCTCCGCTCTGAGCATATGATCTCTCAGCTGCTTCACTTTGCTTGCTTTTCACGTAAAATTATGAATATTTCATTAGTTCTTTTGTGCGCTTGAATATAAACAAATAAGTAAATACATATATATAAATTTAGTAAATACATAACGGTATACGCGCATAAGTCACATTGAACTTCATTGTGCGAAACGAATTACCGGCGTTGTGTGTGGGCGTTTGCGAGTCACCAAAACTACTATATTTTTGTGCGTCTAATGCTGCGGCATGTTTGTATATAGGTATTGTATATTAACGCACAAATACCAAATACGTCTTTACATATTGATTTTTGGCATCGATTTCAACATTTACCGCGATCTATTATTTAATTTTGTTTACCAAACTTATCTTCTGCCTTTGCTTCCGAGCATTTTCGCAGATTTCTTAGCGCTCCAACAACCTGAATTACTCTCACATTAACACAAATATGTATTTCACCATTCGCCATGAATCACCTAATGACTTTCACATCTTATTTTTTAAGCATTTGATACAGTTATATTTGCCTTCAATGCGCACTATTTCTCATAGTTTCTTATTTTCAAACAATTTTTTAGTAAATTTAGTTTCATTTGCTCATTTTCTTCGTTTTCCCGTCATACAGTCACCTGCTGTTGTTCCAAAGTCCATTGCTGGCGTCTAGCAACAGAGGCTTCTGTTGGTATTTTTGCTGCAAAATGGCAAACAGTTTGTACTAACTAGCAGATAGCGGCGTCGTAAAGATATATGTCATTATTGCCTTTCTTAATTTTTTCGTCTTGAAAATGCATATCGCATGAATCATTTCGGATTTCCTAAGAAATTGAAATTGCCCTTGTTACTATCGGAATTTTATGTACATAGTGTAAAAATTTTCTTAGATATGCCTTACTATTCTGTTTCAGGTATTCGTTGCTAGACCTTTGTTAACTGATCTCAACTACTCAGATTATTTTTACTTCGAAAAGTTTTGCTTCTGTACTCATTCTTTTTGCAAGAAGATCGAAGTACTTTCGTTTGTAGAATACGAAACAAAACTTATTTCTGAAATCCGATGCTTGGATTTGTGAACTGAAGCAACGTTTTCAACTGAAATGTCCTTCAAGTGTATTTGAGAATTCCCCTCAGTAAATAAATCAGAGTCTACAGCGTCTAGCATAATGATCATTAAACTCGATGGAACACTGTAACACCTCTGTTTTAATTTTTAATATTTTATTTGCTATGATTAAATATTTTCTTCATTGGGGATGAATCACTCTTCAAGCATCTGATTAAGTGCATATACATGATATATGCCCTCACGGTTGCATGAGTGGCAAGCACTTGAGAACAGATGTATGAATTCATGTATGTATTTGGGAATTCAGTAAATCACTTATGCCCACGGAATGCATTATGCAGCACAGTTAAAAATAGAATTTGTTACGCATGCAGCGCTTAAGATCGCTGCACATGAAAACAATACTGAAATCATGTTGAAAAAATTTAATAAAGGGCCATATAATGCATTATGATTCAGAAGCACATTAAATAATTAGGAAGAGGTTCATGTTTACATATACATAGAAAGTAGTAGTAGGAAAGGAAAGACTACACAAAAATACATTTACAAGTGAATCCACGCATGCAAAACTCCTGTCGGTTTGTTATAATTTTATATTAAGTAATTTTGAGTTAATACCAACGCTTAAACCAATGCGCTTGATTAGGGCTCAACCAAAATAATTTCTGCTTCACTCACACATTATTTTTAGTATTTTCAGTCGTAAGGCATTGACACCTTCTGACTTCATATTTGAGTATTAAGAGCAGAAAAAATCCCTAAGGATCATAACTGTCTCTAAGTCTAGCTGAGACCAATAAATGCGCAAAGTCTGTTGCCTAAGTCTCTGTTGCCTCGTCGCACCTTCCACTATACACTACTTCCCCGTGTTATCACCACAAAAATTGCCGCGTGTGAACACAGACTAAGCAAGCATCTGTTTTGTGACTTTTGGTGCGTGTCTGACAGGGATGCGCCCAAATATAAAAAGCGATTGTTACAAGATATTGAGATCTCTTACTATCTCTCTAATATGAACAGGACCAGTTACTCGTATAAATAAATGTAACTTCTTGTTTTCGTCGTTAACTGAGCTGGTTGAACAAATCACACATGCAAAGTGTTCTCACTAGCTTTACGTAATGCTTTACGCAACCTAACTTCTATAAATTCTCAACAAATTAAGAATTTTTCTACATAGTTAACTAAGAAATTTGTACACTTTTCGTTGAAGATGTACTGCTTATATGGTTCTTTAGCAAATATAATATAAGATTTTGGACGCAATTAAAAAAGCACAATTTTTCTTAACGAAAATTTACTTAATATTCGTCAATGTATATTTTGTTCTTAAAACTTGTTGTAAAACATTCAAATTTCAATGTAAGCACAAATTCGCCTAAACTCATTTGGTTGTAAAGTAATCGACTACACATGGAATATAAGGCAACATGAATGGAAGCCAGTGGTTTTGCGTGAAGTATCCAATCAAAATGTTATTATAAGCTTTTAGCACTTAATTAATATACTTTTTAAAAAAATCAAAACAGTTAAAAATAAAAATAATAAACCTTCAAATATTAACCTTTTACTTTGTGTTAATTGTTGAAAAGATTTGTGCCCATAGTTTTTAACTGGTCATAAAAATAGCTTCCATAAAAATTCAACTTTAAACAAATTGTGTCATAAAAATCATAAAAGGCATTAAGTGTCATAAATGATTTAACAAAAATATTTTACTGACGCACAGATAACATTCAAATCGAAAAGATACTAAACGGCAGAATGAAATCCATAATAAAAAATAAAAACACAACAAAATGAGCAGAAAATAAAAAGATAGTAATATTAAGTATTTATAACTACGAATACGTATTAACAGACGTACCTACATATATATA